CTCCCTCCCTCCCTCCCTCCCTCCCTGGCTGGCTGGCTGGTTTTTAAGGCCTTCCATGCATCAATTTCCCTTCCATCCCAAGTTCTTACCTCCAGATCCCTTAGTACTGGATGATCTTCAATGCCAGGAAAAAGGACTCTCATTGTATATGTCCGGTAGTCCAGAAATGGTATTCCTGCTCCATCCAAATCACTTGTCAACTCATGGATATCTGTCTGCAGCTCTGCAAAAGCTGTGATTGGGGGGAAGGGATGGTTTAAAAAAAGAGGTTGAACCATTCAAGAGAAAATATTTTAAATGCAGGTAGAAGATCCAAGATAGTGCATTGTATGGAGTTCTGGCCAGAATTATCCAACTTCAACAACTCACTGGTTGCATTCACACAGCATACTTAACCTAGTTCCTGAATGAACCTATTTTCTGGGTTCTAGGTTTTGCAGTTTTCTACTGCAAACCATAAAAACAAAATAAAACCAGACTGGTTTGCAAACACACTCACCTGAAAGAAAACCTAACCCTAGTGAGAACTATAGCAAGTTACTTGACTGCATCTACTAGATCTTGTCTTGTCCTAGTTAAGTGTATTGTGAGGATGCAGCTAATATGAAGCTATTTCCTAACCTCTTGCTTCTTCACCTATAGATCTCTTCCATTTCCCACCTGCTAGATTCTCAAACACATAACTCCTACTTCAGCCCCAGGAAAAACAGAGGTCTCAAGTCTTCTAGTCAGTGTCATTTTCAAGACCTTTCATCCTAACCCAATCCATTCAACACTTCCTGGTCTCCTATTTTTCCATAGGCATGTCTGCCTCCATCCTCACTTCCCCAATAACTGAGCAATTGCAGTGGTGTAAGGGAACGACCTTGGGAGATGGGGAAGAGCTAAAGACAGGGCAACAGTTGGATAAGAGGCAGATTAGCCTGCAGAAGGAATGGGACATGGCAAGTGTCTCAGAAGGGACCCTCCCTAGTTTCTTGGTCTATAAAGGTGAGCGGGGTAGGGGGAGATGGCCTTTCAGACTTGCAAGATTCTGTTAATGTAGCCTTACAATAAAGTAGAATTAGTTCATCTGGGCGAGCTTCCTGTCTGGACTCCCTCCCAAAGCTGATAGCAATTCATCCAAAGCCTTGGTAATCCCTTTGGCTTGTAGTACCTTCTTTGCACTCCAAAGCCACCCTAGATTCCAGATTGTCCATCTGCATCTGCAGCCTCTTCAGAGTGAGATCACTTTCCCGAGACTTTCGCTTGTAGGCAATCAGGACGGCCACGATGAAAATGATGAGGAGTCCCCCAGCCACAGCAATGCTGACAATTGCAGGCAGGCTGAGCGGGCTGTCGGAGGAGATGTTCACCATGCCTGGGGAGAATTCCATGCCTCCTACACGAGCCTGTGGGGACAGCAAGGTGCTAAGCTAACTTGCTAAGCACAAGACACATTTCCCTAGCACTCTCTTCTCCTTGGGAAAGATGAAGTCGCTAGATCTCGGGGTTCTAAGGGGTTATGGAAAGGACGTGGGAAACTCACAGCTGAAATCTCAGAATCCAGAGGACTGATGATTGAAGTGGGGCTCTTCCCATTACTAGCAACACAGGAATAAGTGAGGACGGGTAGAATGATCAATTATGCAAAAAAGAGGAATAATGTAAATTTGTTCTCTTTGCATTGGAATACTGCACTCAGGGTTGCAAGGCAGGAATGCTTTTTTCAGGAAGCAAATAGCTTTTGCCCCACGGCACGCAAGCGCTATTCCTTACCGTGACTTTATGTCGTCCTGTAAGATTTGGGGATTCACACAACAGTTGCACATCTGAGACGGTGACCACGCAGGGCTTCTCCCCAATCAGCACTGTGTAATTCAGCTTTGCATTTCCTCCTGCTACCGGTGGGGTTAGGTTCTTCCCCTAGGCCAAGAGAAACCAGAGGGGTGGAAGTGCTGTATCCAGGAGTCAAAGGAAATTGGAAGAAAGGGGTAGTTTCCTATGCCTCCCCCCAATATAAACTTTGGAATGGCAGCTTAGAACAGACAATGCGTCAGATATTCCAGCAAGGAATAGCATTTCCTGTTGAAAAGAGACATATAGAATCACTCCTGGTTCAATAAACGTCTATTAGTACCCCACTGAGCCCACTGAAGTTGGGTGGCCAATACATTTAAATAAATAAATAAAAGATGGGGAGAAGCAAATTCCCCTGAATTTCCTTTTTTTTCCCTCCCCTACCTGCTCGGCCAGAATTTGCTTGCTGTGAAAAATTTGGAAAGAATTTGCACATTGCATCATCCTGCCTCCGTACCTTCAATATCACAGGGGTTCCTGGTTTCAGTTCCAAAATCCCGGGGGGACTGAAAGCCTCAAAGACAGGGTTTGGATAATAGGTGAAGTTGGTCTTATTGAGGATCAGCAAGGAGTAGACGTTGTCCAAGATGAAGCCAAACTCATCTGGCCGTTCCGTGAGATCAGACTGGTTATTAGGGTCAACGGTTAATGCTGGAGCTTGGCAGACCATTTCGGTCTCATTCTGAACTTCGCAGACCTGAAATAAGAGAGCAAGGAAGGTTGAAGAGCAATCCGATTCATCGTGGCCTCCAACATTAGGAAACACAAATCTACTGCAGCCGTATCTACAATTGGCCCTGCAGAGAAGGGGAACCATTCCCAAATCTGCACAGATATTCAAAGGGAATTTTTGGACTGTTATTGAATACCTGGCTTTCCTTGGAGTAAGCCCATGGAATTCAGTAGGTCTTTCTTTGAAGAGAAGGGGAACCATTCCCAAATCTGCACAGATATTCAAAGGGAATTTTTGGACTGTTATTGAATACCTGGCTTTCCTTGGAGTAAGCCCATGGAATTCAGTAGGTCTTTCTTTGAAGAGAAGGGGAACCATTCCCAAATCTGCACAGATATTCAAAGGGAATTTTTGGACTGTTATTGAATACCTGGCTTTCCTTGGAGTAAGCCCATGGAATTCATAGGTCCA